TCTTGTTCCCTCCTGCCAGATCCCCTCATCAGCATACAAGTCCCCAGGAAGACCTCCCACCACCCCACCACCACCCCGGATTCTGGGCAGGAGGATTCTGGGCAGGAGGAGCTGGAAGATGCAAAGCTATGTTTCATGGGGGCAGAGACAGGCACAGGGAAGGACTTTCCAGACACTCCCAAAGGGCTCCCAGTATTTCCTGTGAGTCCACTCACATCTCTATGGGATTCTCAGAGCAGGACCAAGGGAAGGAACTTTAGGGGCAGAAGCTACTTAGGGGTGCACGTGGGCCTCCTATGCGATCCTGTAACCTCAAAGTCTACTTGTCTTTTCCCCCTGCTTCTCTACCCCCTTATCCTCTCAGGTGAGTTCACTTCCCTTTTCACCTGATTTGGTTTCATATCTGTCTTTCCTGAGGCCCAGAGATGTTCCCACCTTCCCGAGAAAGCTCAAAGGTTTTGTCCATTCTGCAGTAGTCTGTCTGAGTGTGGATGCAACTGCTGCTCCAGGCATGGGCCATCACCCAGGGTCATGAGGCCAGGGACTTCTGCTGGACAAGTGGATGGTGACATCAGTGGGCAGAGGAGCTGGGTATTGAGGAGTAAAAGATCACTCATATGGCAGAAAGTGGTTGCCAAGCATCATGAGCATTCCTGTTCTTTCTCTCTTGCTGGAACATTGGCTCTTGCTGGCCTGAGGACCACAGCTCCAGTCTTCCCAAGGCCAAAGTCCCATGGGAGGATCCATTCCAGGACCCTGGATGGCTGATGTCCCATTTTGTGTGTCTGTAGTGTGAATGTATGAGTGTCCTTGGTATCTGTGGTGTATGTGTGTCTGTGTATTTGTGTGTGTTTGTGTGTGTGTCTGCAGCCTATATGTGTGTTAGAAGTGTGTGTACATCTGAGTTGTGTGTGTAATTGAATTTGTATGTGTCTGTATCTATCTATGTGTATTTATATGTGTGTCAGTGTTCTTTGGGTGTAGATCTGAGTTGTGTATGCGTGTCTGTGTATGTTTGTGTCTGGTTATGGTCTCTGTATTTATGTATAAGGTATGTGTTTCTGTATCTGGTGTGTGTATGTGTACATATCTATATGAGGTGTCAGTGTATGTGTCTGTGGTCTCTGTGTTTGAGCTTGTGTGTATTTGTGTATCTCTGTGTGTGGTCTCTGCATGTCCGAGTTGTGTATGTGTATCTGTGTAACTTTAGGGGCAACCTATGATGAGTGTGTATATGTGTGCATGGTCAAATGCAACTTTCTCAGGGATAACGTTCATAGATAACACGTTGAAGAGTATAATTGTCCCATATTCTCTATGTATCTTTCCTGTGGGTTAGAAGGGAAGAGTGTTTGGGAATCAGTGACCATAGTGTCCCCATGGTCCTTCCCTTCAGGCTCCCATGTCCACGATCATCTTTGTCCTGAGGGAGAAAGGAACCCATCCCTCATTCTCTAGTGGCCTCTAACCTTGCTAGTAAGACCAGTAGTGATGTCAGAGGCCTGAAAAGGCTGGCTCTGGGGATGACCAGCTAGTGAGCTGCATTCTGGGGTTTGGGGGATTCAGATAAGGAGTTATTTTGGGAAGGGGCCTGATGATCTGGTGCAATAGATCGTGAGAGGCCATAGGTGAGGAGAGAGCCAGCCCCAATGTAGGCACTCCTGAGCAGAGTGAGGACCAGAAAACAAGGCACATAGGTATGTTAGAAGGGCATGAAGTTCCTGTTTATACGTCTCAGAGCTCTACCAGCAGGGCCGAAGCTTCCTGCCTCTTCATGACTCTGGGGCTCAGGGTGGCCTGGGCAAGAAAGAAACTGTAGGAAAAGGAAAATACTGTCCCAGACTGAAAAAGTGAAAATCAACCCAGTTGGATAAAGAAAAACAGCCAGGAAGTTACTGAGGCCGAGTGGGAGGACATCTACAATATTAAAAAGGAATCTTATTTGTCTCAAGGTCTTGTAATAGCTGTAAAATGCCATGAAGATTTTCTGTGAATGATTAATACTTTCTCACCAAAGATGCCCTGAAACCAGCTTTGTTATTCCCATTTAATTACTGGGCGTACCCATGTATCCCATCCTAGTCCCAGAGTTGTTCCAGTCTCTAGTTAATGCCCATATGGAGTAAAAAACCCAAGTCTGAGGATGAAAGCACACCCTAGGGACTCTCAAATACCCCTTACAAGCCATATCAACCTAGGATGTCACCAGACCCTTCCCTGGGCTCCTGCTACCTCTGCACTGGAGTCTGATCAAGATTCTGCTCCATGCCTCCCAGGGATGATGCTCCACCCACTAGAAGACACTCTGGCCCCTGAGAAGACCCAGGCAGGGGAGCTGTCACTATCTATGACAATTTGAACTCAGATACTTCTCAACTCTGCAGAAGGGCTTGACCTCCGAGGTTGGGGGTCTTAGTCCCAGCCCAAGAAGGCAAAGGGGTGGGAAGCATCCAGACCTGCTTTAGAGGGATGGATGGAGTCAGGGGTGGGGCAGACAATCAGGAGTGAATGGTGCTGGGCTCACCTCTCTGGCTCCTTTTCCTGCTCCTCCTATTTCCTGACAATGTCCCTCCTAAGAATGACGTCTGTCTGTCTGCCTCTCCTGACTTAGCCACAGGGAAGGAGGATGTGCCTGCTAAGCCCCTCTGTTTACTGATCTCTGCACTGTTTCTTTAAATATCTTGCTTCATACTAGACACACACACACACACACACACACACACACACACACACACGAGAACAGCTCTGGAAGTGAAGGGGTAGACTTCACATTTGATAAAGGAGAAAATTAGACTTTCTTACTCAATCATTTTCTCCAGTTCTGCCCACCAATCCCAGTGTCACTGAGCAGAAGAGGAGAGTCTCAGGCCTAATGGGGAAGGATAGCAATTCCTGGCCACTTATTTCTGGCTCAAACGGATCTCCTTTTCTGGTGATGTGGGACTCGCCTGATGTTGAGGGACTCCCCTTTCATCCAGGAGAGGATGAACCTAAGGAGCTCACCTAGCTGCCTTCTGCTGCTGGATTAGGGGCTGGGAAATGGTGGGGCAGGGTATCCTTTCTCAGATAAGGGGAGATGCAAGATACCTGGCCTCTGTATTGTTCCTCCAGTCCTGGGGTCCTAAAGTAGTCACCTTCTTGTTACCCCTGATCAGAGTTTTCCTTTGGTGTCTCTTGGACCATTTACAGGATTTATAGTTGTGCTTAGAAGGGCGGAGCAGGGACAAAATGAGTCAACGTTATCTTGTCTGGTCCAGAAGTCTGTCACCTTTTCATGGTGTAATAGATAGGTTGATTGGTTTCACCAGCCTGTCATGACCGTAGAAAGACATGTGACTCAGCTGTTCCTTCTGGGATAAGGGAGCGAGGTTTAGACATCAAATTTTTTTTTTTTTTTTTTTTTTTTTTTTACAGATGCTCTGTCCCCCAGGTTGGAATGTAGTGGTGAGATCTTGGCTCACTGCAACCTCCGCCTCCCAGGTTCAAGCGATTCTCACGCCTCAGCCTCCTGAGCAGCTGGGATTACAGGTATGTGCCACCACGCGCGGCTACATTTTGTATTGTTAGTAGAGACAAAGTTTCACTATGTTGGCCAGGCTGGTCTCAAACTCCTGGCCTCAAGTGATCCACCTGCCTGAGTCTCCCTAAGTATTGGCATTACAGGTATGAGCTGCTGTGCCAGGCCCACACATTGTTTTAAGCAATACCAGAATCTTCCATTTGTTTATCTAAGGGTCGTTATGAGCTTATGGCAAAATGCTTTCACCCCTGTCATGGTTTGGGTGTGTTGTTGATTAATTTGGGGCTGGTTTTCTCAAACTGATTTTTATCTTTTTAATTAGACTTTTTAGGAGGATGATTGTGAGCTTCGTTTTGCACATCTACCTTTGAGGTCATTTGGAAGGATAAGATGTTAGCCCAATAATGACACGGTGACAGCCTTTCCTGAAGGAGGGATGTGGATACAAACAGATAAGGAGGAATGCATCAGAATGGGGTCCATAGAGTGTAGGAAGTGGCAATGGAAGAGTAGACTGGGTGAGATTCAGAGCAACATAGAATAGAGGTCAGCACACTATAGCATGTGGGCTGCCTGTTTTTATAAATAGCATTTTCTTGTAACACAACCATATAATTCATCTGCAGATTGTCTGTGGATGCTTTGGTGCTACAATGGCAGAGTTTAATAGTTGCAACAGAGACGATTTTGCTTGCAAAACTGAACATGTTTACTCTCTGGCCCTTTGCTAATACTGGTTGACCATCTCTGACTTAGAATGTCACATTAGAATGTCATTCTTGTGGGCTGGGGATCTAGGGAAGTATTTTGACTGTGGTCAGCTCTGAGTTTTAGAAAACTCCCCAAATGCTAATATGGGATTTTCCTTGTAGCAGGACATAAAGAAAGCAGAAATCTGAGTAGGAGACAGGTGGGATAGAAAAGGAAGATTCAGGAGTGAGAGAGATGATGTTGGAGGGCAAGTCAGGGAAGAAATGTATGGTGGTGTTTTGACCAGCAAGTGCGATGGACATGTTGCTGATATAATTTCAGGGATCAAAGGTCACTAATGCCTTCTGTTTGAGGGGAAGGAACCAGTATGCGCCAAACTCTCACTGTACCAGGACTGGCATTTTTCATGCATGCTTTTATTTAATGCTCACAGGATCCCTATGAGTTAGGACTGCTTTTTTTTTTTTTTTTTTTTTTTTTTTTTTTTGAGACGGAGTTTCACTCTTGTTACCCAGGCTGGAGTGCAATGGCGCGATCTCGGCTCACCGCAACCTCCGTCTCCTAGGTTCAGGCAATTCTCCTGTCTCAGCCTCCTGAGTAGCTGGGATTACAGGCACGCGCCACCATGCCCAGCTAATTTTTTTGTATTTTCAGTAGAGACGGGGTTTCACCTTGTTGACCAAGATGGTCTCGATCTCTTGACCTTGTGATCCACCCGCCTCGGCCTCCCAAAGTGCTGGGATTACAGGCTTGAGCCACCGCGCCCGGCTCGAGTTAGGACTTCTTGCACCTATTTTACAGATAAGGAAATGGAGACATGGAAGGTTAGGGAGTTTGTGTGATATCATGCACTTAGTAAATGAAGGAGCACAGATTTGATTCCAGCACTCTCTAGTGACAAAGTCTAAGATGATGACATTATAGCAGGAAACTCACATAATGTCTATAAACCCATTGCCTGTAGGATGTTAAATCTCCAAGAATTAGCCTTTGGTCCCCAACGCATAGAAGATGTGGATCTTCTAGCTGAGGCTGATGCTCTTGTGGGTTCCTCATTGGGTCCTGACCTCTGAGTATTCAGTGGAGGTGTCCTTGGAAGGATTCATCCCATGAAAGCTGAGGGAAGCATAATGCAGCTCCTCATCTATCCCCACAGTAGGGGCAGCACGGTAGGTTTCAGTGGGGCCATGGAACTTGGACTTCCTCTGGTGTTCCTTATGGAGAGAAAAGAAGGGGGTTAGAGCAGGGCAGTAATGAGGGGGACCAGGAGAAGGTAGAGAGGGTCAATGAAGTAAATTCGACTCTGACAGAACATTTATTCATTTATTTCATTCTTTCATCAAATGTTTATTAAGGCTCCACTTATTCATTATCTAACACTTGTAGCATGTATTGATTGATTCCTGATTCTCTTGAATACACACACAGACCAATGTGGAAAAATTCTGGGCAGCTACATTGACATCATCTTTAGCATCTATAACTTTATCCATTTCACAGACCAAGAAACTAGGTCTCAGAGAGTTTAGGTAATTCCCAAGGTCACACATCTGTTGACCCTGAACTCAGTCCCAGATCTCTGGGACCTCCAATGCGCTGGGCACTGGATCCTCAGAAGGGAGCAAAGCAGAGCAGGGGCCCTGTGATTTCCACTACTGCAAGGGATGAAGACAGAAACAGACTGGTAATTGCAAATTGTGACAGTGTGTAGCTGAACAAGAGAGAGTAGAATAATAGAGGCCTAATAAAACCCAGCCTCATCCTGTGGAGCTCACATTGTGGTAGGGGAAGCCATGGGAGTGCAGTTAGCTCAAGGGGTGCAAGCCCTACACAAACAGGGGACATTGTATCATGGGAGACACAAAAGCAGATGCTGGAGAAATGGCAAGTCTACAGGGTACTACCATTTTCTTCTGCAGGCCCATTTCTTGGTTCTAGATGTGGTGCAGTGTTTCTCAAAAGAGTTCTTCAACTCAGTTTCTGCTTCCTTTCCTCCCATTCTCTCTTGAACTCTCTCTAGTCAAGAGATCTTCCTCCAGCAGAAAATCAGATCTGCTTTGCTGTCATACTACTTAGCTACATGCAAGCAGTCATTTCTCAGACTCTGTCTTAACCAGACTTACCAGCACATGAAACAAATGACCAATCTCTCCTCCATGAAGCTCCATCTCCCCTTGGCCACCAACTCTAGAGCCTGCACTTTCTTAATCATTGGCTTCTACTCAGTTGCCACTCATTCTCAGCTTTCTCACCATTTACACCTCATCTCCCTAACATTAAATGCTGGAGGGTTCCAGGGGTGTGGTCCCCTTCTCTTCTTTGTAGGTTCATCCACTATTGGATGTTGCTATGGAAGCCCTCAACCTCTGTGTCTCCCATAAGGACCCCTCTTCTGAGCTACTTGTCACTTGGATGTCTCAGAGGCATCTGAAACTTACAGTAACCAAAATAATGTTTGCTGTACACTTGAAAATATACTTCTCCTTCAGGGTTGGCAATTTTAATCATTGGCAATTTGATATTTTAAGTCTGAATTCTGAGTAAATCACACGAACATCGTATTTGGCATCTATAGACGTCTATGAAATCTATGGAGTCTTCTTAGACATACATGACATCTGTGATATCTGTGGACCTGTGACATCTGAGACAGCTATCAAGCAGAGGTCGTGATCTCTCTTTGCTCATGCCTTGCATGCACTCCATCACTCCATTTACAAATATTGTTGACTCCACCTTCAAGGTGTATCTGGAACCCAATTTCTCTACATCAGATTCATCATTCTTACTTGGAACTATGTCTGAGTCATTCATCTCTTGGTTTGATTTTCTGTGTATCCTCTATTCTGGTATCTTCTCTTCTGTTCTATGTACTAGAATGTTCCATGGAGCAGCCAGAGTGACTCCCACTAAAATGAGTGTCCGTTCATGTCACTCTTCTGCTCTAAATGCATAAATAACTATGATGAACTTAGGACCCTGCAATATTTGCAGCTTCTATGTCTCTTCATTTCCTACCTGCAGTTGCTCAGTCCACAGCCCACACCCGACATGTAACTCTGCCTTATCCACACTGTCTTAACTATTGTTTCTCTAAAACATCAGCTGTGCTTCAGCCTCAGAACCTTGCTGCTCCCTCAATGATTTTCTAGTGCTCGCACTGTACTCCTTTTCTTCCTGGAGGTGTTTGCTCAAAGGATACTCTTTGGCCTTTAGGACTGTCCAATGCATTCTCCTATTTCATTTCTTTCCATAGAACTTCATGCCTATTTCATGTATATTTGCGTTACTTATTTATTCATTATTTTCATACCTTTCACCAATTGATGTAAGCCCCTGATAGGAGGAATATTTTATATTTGTAAAATATGTGTTTATAAAACTGGCACAAGGACCTAGAACAATTGACAAATGGGATTATATAGATACTTGCAGAATGAATGGGTGCTTATTGACACTGTGTTCAAAAACTTTACTGTGGTGTTCACTTTAGTCAGAGTTAAATAAATTAAAAAAAAAATCAGAGCTTGAAGGATGCACTGGAGTTGGGCAGGTAGCTATTAGGGATTTGAGGAGGAGGGGACAGCTCAGCAATGAATCTGAAATGAAAAACCTTGCTCTGCTTGAGGTGATTGAGTGGCTAATGTTGGGGGAGCATAGTGCTGATGGTGATTCTGATTTTCCTGCCCCAAATGCCAGACCAAGTTGTTGGAATGCCGGTCTTTCAGCAGTGTGGAGAAGAAGTGCATTTCAAACTTGGAAATGATGAGACAGTGACCTTTTAGGGAGCTAATGCTAATGTTCTGGAGAGGAGAAATGGGAGAGAAAGCTGTAGCAGAATAAGGAGTGGGAGGGTATCTTGGCTCAGAAGGAGTGGTTGTGTTAAGCTGTGTTCAGAGGAAGCTCAGACATGTATCGTAGCATACTGGAACAGGAAGAAGAGATGGAGAACTGGGGCAGGAGGGGGCCAGGTCTATGTTTGGTTAATGGGGACAAGAGTGCCATCAGTGAGATGGAGAACCCATCAAGAGAAATATGTTTAGGGGTGTGTCAACCAAGTATTTCTGATGTTTTGACATCTGGGGCATTGCTGACCCTCAAGAGGCTGCCTCTCCCAGGGATAGTAGATTTCTAGAGATGATAAAGGACTTGCCTACAAGTGCACCTTTCATGTGCAAACCAGTCAATCTAAAGCCCACACTACCGACTGGATCTTTTATTGAGTCTTACACTCCAGGCCACAATCCTCCTGGCCTAATTAACCCAAGGCCACATACGAGACAACTAGAGGCAAACCCTGTACTCCAGAGTCTGCTGAAATTGTTCAAGGTAGCCAATTGTAAACCTGCCTATCTTGCTTATCCTGTCTTGCCCATTCTTTTCCATGAAAGGCACAATAAAAGCTCTTGTCCCATTTTCCCTTTGCCCCCCACCCCACCCCCCGCTTCCTGACTGACCCTGGTACTTCTCTACATGGATTTGCATAGTGTGGTATGCCGTCTTCTCTTGGGAATGGTGAATAAGAAACTACCTTTCCAGCGGCCATCATCTCCTGATCTGTTGGCCTCAACATACCTGAATAAAATTAAAACCTACAATGTTAAACAAGAGGAAAGACAATGAGCTCAGTTTTGGAAATGCTGAATGGGGCATGTCCGTAGGCCATCTTGGGAGGAGGTGTCTGCAGGGCAGACTGGATGTCAGGATACCCCATCACTCACCAGGGAGGCTGGCCCTCTGGCAGGGTAGGTGTCATTCCTGCCCAATGCTGTCCTGGCTGCTTTCCTCCTGTGGATCTTCACTCTGATAGGAGACACCAAGGTCTTTGAGTCTGGTTTTCTCAGGCTGTAGGGCCATTGTTATGAGTCTGGAACAAGGGACTTTGGCAGGTAAGGGGTGGGATTAATCCATAAGCCTTCAAACAAGACTTAGTAACGAGGTCTTCTTCTACCTCCCACTTCTTGGACATCTGAGACCAGGGGCCTAGAATAGACCCATGCCTAGCCCAGTGGCTACAGGCTGGATTCTGTACACCCACCATACTCCCTGCCCTTTCTCCAGCCCTCACAGCCCCTCCAGGACCCTTCTACACCAGGTCCATCCTCTTCACCTCTGGTCCACACCTGACCCAGAGAAAATGCTCACATGAAGATGAGGCAGAGACAAAGAATGAGCAGGGCTGTGACACCAGCTCCCCCGATGGCCCCCTGAACCACTCCTGCTCTGGTCTTTTGTTTCCCTGCAGACAAAAAAGACTTAGGGTGAACTCTAATCTTGATAAATAGGTATGTGTCTCCTCTCCAGCATGTAGAGAGGGTGTCTTCACTTCCAAAATGGGATTCAGTTCCTAGATCTTCCCACTCATCATGGGGCATCTATATAGACCGCGACCATGAGATGAAGCATACAGTGCACCTAACACCTCTTGTTCAGCCCTCTCTCTCCGGTGCACAAAACACCATCCCTTCTAGCAGCCAGGTACCTCTCCATCCTGGGTTTCTCTGAAATGGACCTCAGAAATAGCCACTGAAGTACTGTGAAGCTCTGAGCCTCTTTGGGGTGGGGGGGAGAGAGAGAAGAGAGAGAGAGAGAAAGAGAGAGAGAGAGAGAGAGAGAGAAAGAAATTGAGAGCACAAGCACTGGAATGCTGATAGGCCTTGTCTCTTCTTTCTTCCCACTGACCCCATCACTCAGGGTCACACGTGGTCCTTTTGGCCTTCAAAAGAGCCTGGAAGCAGGGTGGCAGTGGGTTAGGGAGGTGATTCTCAGACCTTTGGGTCAGACCCAGGCAGTTCTCCTGGACCTGCCTGTCTGTGCCTTCTAGATCCCAACACTCAGAGTCAGAGGCGTGTCCCTGAGCATCATCTGTCAACAGTTTGATGACCACTACTGAGGGAACTATTCCTGCCTTCGCTGAGCTTACTGTCCAGTGAGGGACCAGATGCCATTATTAATTGGAATAGGGCAGTGGAGAGAGCATTGGTCTTTGGACAGAGGTCATGGCTAAGGGTTGAGTTATGGACAGTAGAAAAAAATGCCCTAAAGAGATTTTTAGGGAAGTGTGATTATTCTATATGATACTTTTATGATAGATTCATGTCATTATACATTTTTAAAAACCTGTAAAATGCACAATACCAGGAGTGAACCCTAATGTAAACTATGGGCTTTGATTGACAATGATATTTCAGTTTAGGTTTATTGACTGTAACAAATGTATCACTCTGATGGGGAGTGCTGATGGTGGGGGAGACTATGTGTGGGGGTAGAGGGTATATGGGAAGTCTTTGTACCTTCTGCTCAATTTCTTCTGTGAACTTTACACATGAAAAATAAAGTTCATTTAAAAATGCCCCCAAGATGTTCACTGAATAGAAGATTCCACTCAATTTTGCTCTTAAACTAACACTACTCTGAAAAATAAAACCTATTAAAAATGCCCCCATTCGGAGCAAAATGGCTGACCAGAGGTACCTGGAGCTCATCCTCCCCTGTGGCCCCCGGACAGGAAAGGACCAAAGCAATGAATAAACAGCAGATTTGAGTGGCGTGTCAAAGGGAGAGTACTGTAGTACAGCAGGGCAATAGAGAGTTACCTGTGGTAATTGGAAGCCCAAGAGGGCAGCATGGAGGCACCCAGCCTTTGCAGCTCCATCTCCCCAGCCCAGATTGGTTTGTACCAGAGACAAGAAGGATTTCCTCTTATAGGGAAATAATAAATAGAAGAATCCAACCAATCCCCAGTGCCACTGCAGATCCCTACATTCCTTAATACTGGTGGATCCTACAGTCCTCACAAGCTCTGAGCACAGTTGGAAGAGCTGCCAGGAATTCATGCAGCTGCATGGTTCTGGATTAGGAGCACATGGTGTGCACTCCCAGCTCCCTAACCAACCCCTGTGGGCAAGCTGCTACAACATAGCACCACCTTGAGACCACAGCCATCTCTGGACTATACCTCCTCTGGGGGCCAGTGGCCATGCACCTCTTCATCATTGTAACTACATCTTCATTCCCCTGAGCCTGCATTAGTGGCTGAATACCACAGTTAGATCTGCATGGAGCCTGAGCCCAGGATTGGCTGTGGCTCTGGTCCTGAACAGCAGGGAAACCAACCCCTGCTACCTGTAATTTCAGCCGGAGGAACAGTCTTATAGTCCCACTCAAGGTGAACACATAATTGAGTTGGCCAAGCTACTGTACACATTCCCCTGAATGGGAGAGGCCCCTGAGATAACAAAGAGCTGATAAATCCCCAGGCTCTGGGAGAGGTTATGTGCCCACACACAGGCCCTGAGAGACATGCCTCTGGCCTGCCCAAAGGCCACTCTCCCACAATTAGGGCCTGAGAAACAGCCTTGTGGGCCAGCCCTTTAGACATAACCCCAGGCAGATTGAGCAGCTGTGTGCTTGCCTTCTAGTCCTGAGAAACAGCCCCATGGTCTACCACTGGCCGGTACACCTTCTAGGCCAGCCATGCAGTCAGTACACCCATATCCCAAACCCTAGATAAAGCTCTGAGTGCTGCTCCTAGCAAAAACACCTAGGCCAGCCAAGAAGTCATTCAACTTCATCCCAGCCCTGCAAAACAGCCATGTTGGCACCTCCAGCAGACGTGCCCAAGGTCAGCCAAGTAGTGGGACACCTGTGTCTCATTGTTTTAATTCATGACTTGAAAGAGAAATTAAACAGGAAGACAGTTATAATATCCAAGCAGAAATCTTCAGCTGAGAACTCAATAAATGAAATAAAAAATGAAGCTCTCCACAATCAAGAGCTTCAACAACAGAATAGGCCAAGCAAAAGAAATAATTTCTGAACTTGACAGATCTTCTGAAATAACACAGGCAGGTAAAAACAAGAGAATAAAATAGAATGAAGAATCCCTACAGGATTCATGGGACACAGTCAAGCAAGGATTCACATTATGGGATTTCCAGATGGAGAAGAGAATGGAAAAGGTGTAGAAAACATATTCTACATCAAATAACAGATGAAGACTTCCCAAGCCTTGGGAACTAGAAGGACATTGGGGTCCAGGAAGCTCAAAGTACCCTCAAAATACTCAACCCAAACAAGTCCTCTCCAATGCTCATTATGCCAAATTGTCAAAAGTCAAGTAAAGAATTGTAAAAACAGCAAGGTGAAAGTGTCTAGTCACATATAGGATTATTCTTATTACACTAACAGTGAGTTTCTCAGCAGTAACATTATAGGCCAGGAGAGAATGGGATGACATACTCAAAGTACTGAAAGAAAAAAACTTAGCAGTCAAAAATACTATACTAATGAAATAAAAAGTTGGCTTTTTGAAAAAATAAATAAAATTGATAATCATTAGCTAGACTAAGAAAGAGACAGAAGACATAAATGAATAAAATCACAAGTGAAAAAGATGTCACAATGGTTATCACAGAAATACACAAGATCATTAGACACTACTATGAACAATACGCCAATAAATTTGAAAGTCTAGAAGAAATGGTAAGTCTCTGAACACATATAGTCTACCAAGATTGAAACAAGAAGACATAGAAAACCTCAACGGACAAATAACAAGTAATGAGATTGAATGAATAATAAAAGTTCTCCCATCAAAGAAAATTGTAGGGCTAGATGGTTTCAGTGCTGAACTTTACTGAACCTTTAACGAAAAAAAAGAACACCAACTCTTCTCAAATGACACCAAAACCAGAAAGGAGACAATAAAAAAAAAGAAAACTACAGGCCCATATCCTGATGAACATAGATGCAAAAATATTTAACAAAATACTAGCAAATTGAATCCAACAATACATCAAAAAGATAATATAGCATGATAAAGTGGGATTAATCCCAAAAGGCAAGAATGATTCAACATATGCAAATCAATAAATGTGATACATTATGTCAACGGAATGAAGGACATAAGCCATATGATCACCTAAATAGTTGCAGGAAAAAAGCACGTGATATAATTCAATATTGCTTCATGGTAGAAATTCTCAAGAAATTAGGTACAGATGGAAAGTACCTCAACACAAAAAAGGCCATATACGACAAACCCGTGGCTACCATCACACTGAAGGCAGAAAAGCTGAAAGCTTTTCCTCTAGGAACTGGATGTCCACTTTTACCACTCTTATTCTACATAGTACTGAAAGTCCTACCAGAGCAATTAGGCAACAGAAAGGAATAAAAACCATCCAAATTGGAAAGGAGGAAGTTAAATTGTCTCTGCAAATGACATGCAAAAACCTAAAGACTTGGCCAGGTGCAGTGGCTCATGCCTCTAATCCCAGAACTTCGGGAGGCCAAGGTGGGCAGATTGTTTGAGGCCAGGAGTTCAAGACCAGTCTGGCCAACATGATAAAATTCCATCTATTAAACAAAACAAAACAAAAAAACTACCGAAACACCCTGAAGACTCTAGCAAATAAAACCTCCTAGAACTGACAAATGAATTTAGTAAATTTGCAGGATACAAAATCACTGCACAAATATCAGTTCCATTTTTATACACAGACAATGAGCTAGCTGAAAATAAATCAAAAGAGTAATCACATTTACAGTAGCTATAAGAGAATGAAGTATGCCTAGGAATAAATTTAACCAAGGAGGTGACAGATCTCAACAAGAAAAACTACAAAACACTGAGGAAATAAATTGAAGAAGATATAAACAACTGGAAAGACATTCTATACTCATGGATCTGATGAATTAATATTGCTAAAATGACTATACTACCTAAATAAACCTACAGATTCAAACCAGGCTCTATCAAAATACCAATGTCATTCTTCACAGAATTAGAAAAAAAAATCTTAAAATTCACATGGAACCAAAAATAGCCTGAATAGTCAAAGGAATCCTAAGCAAAAAGAACAAAGCTGGAGGCCTCGCACTACCAGATTTCAAAGTATACTACAAAGCTGCAGTAACCAAAACAGCATGATATTGGCAAAAAGCAGATACATAGACCAATGATATAAGACCTCAATAGCACAAGTAACAAAAGCAAAAGTAAATAAACAAGATGATATCAAGCTGAAAAGCTTGTATGCAATAAAGGAAACAATCAACAGAGTGAAAAGGCACCTACAGAATAGGAGAAATTGTTTTCCAGCTGTTCATCTGACAGGTGATTCATATCCAGAATATGCGAGGAACTTGTACATCTTGATGGCACAGAAAACCCCAACCTGATTAAAAAATGGGTAAATTATCTGAGACATTTCTCAAGAGATGATATACAGATGGCTAACAAGTATATAAAAAATGCTTAACATCACTAATCAACAGGGAAATGCAAATAAAAACCACAATGAGGTCACATCACCCCAGTTGGGAGGACTGTGAGAAAAAGATGAAAATTAACAAATGCTGTTGAGGATGTAGAGAAATGGGAACTCTTATATACTTTTGGCCAGAATATAAACTAATATAACCAATATGGAGAAGAGTATGGAAGTTTCTCAAAAAACTACAAATGAAGCTACCATATGATTCAGCAATTCTACTACTGGGCATTTATACAAAGAAAAGGAAATCAGTATATTGAAGAAATGTCTGTACCTCCATGTTTATTGCAGCACTATCCACGATAGGAAGATATGAAATCAACCTAGGTGTCCAACAACAGGTGAATGAATAAAGAAAATGTGGCATATATACATAGTGGATTATCATTCAGCCATAACAAATAAAGAAATATTGTTATTCACTATAACATGGTTTGAGCTAGAGGACATTTTGTTAAATGAAATAAGCCAGGAACAGAAAGTGAAATACTACATGTTCTCACTTATAAGCAGAATCGAAAGAAGTTGATTTCATAGAAGTAAAAAGTAGAACAGAGAATAATAAGGACTAAGAAGGTTAGGGGAACAATGATAGGGAAAGAAATTTGTTAAAGGATACAAAATTACACCTGGAAGGGAAGAGTAAGTTCTGGTGTTCTATACCACTATAGGATGACTATGCTTAACAATAGCATATAGTTTCAAATAACTAGAAAGAGGAAATTGAATGTTCCCAGTACAATGAAATGATAAATGTTTAAGATGAGGGATATGCCATTACCCTGATCTGATTACTATACATTATTAGTATTGAAACCTCATTATGCAATCCATAAATATGTACTATTATTATATATATCAACTAAAAATAAAGTAAAATACCCCAAGACATTCAGTGACAGGAGGGAGATAAAGAGCGTTATTTGGACGGGGAAGGAGGAAGTTGCTAGTCATTTCCAAATATCCTTATCCAAGGTGCCTGGTGTCTACCTGTGTCTTAACTACAGGCCTTGCCTCTGAACATTTGACTCAGAAAGTCCAGATCTGACCAGTCCTGACACAGACTCAATGCCAGTAACAGCCCCAGGCAGGGAGGCTCCTTCCTACCTGGGCCATCTCCTAGAAAGATACCAGTGGTTGGGTTCTGTGGAGTATCTCGGAGAGGAAGAAAGGATTTCCTTCATTTGGGGGTAGAGGATGAAACAAGGGTAGGCATTTCCCCTTACTCCTACCAGAAGCCACAGAAATGCAGAAGGGACAGGGCTTATGTCCTTCTAGCTCCCAAACTTGGCCAGGCTTCCAGGACACTAAATGTCCCCAGCCCCAGCCCATCCTGTCTCCCCTGCACCCTCAGAGACCCCAGATCCTGGCCCAGCACTTACAGGTGACATTGAACTGAATGGTTCTCTCTGTGGTCACAGCGGCTCCAGGGAACTTCGCCTGACAGGTGAGGTTGGTGCCATGGTCCTGGGGCCGTGGGGTGATGATGAGCACTGTGGAGAGGGTAGTCCTGGGGCCCAGGGAGGCGGGGGCAGCTGACATCCAGGAGAAGATGGGGGGCGTTCCCTGCTCACAGGCCCAGGGCACAGAACAAGTCAGGTTTTTGGAGTGGCCAGGGTCTAGGGCTCCAGGGATGAGGATATTGGGCCTGTGGGCCAAGTCTGGTGAGGAGAAAGCAGGGAATGCAAGATCAGGAGGGAGGGTCCAGGTGAGAGGCCTTGAGAGAACATCAAGCTCTGGTCAAGCTTCCCCTGTAAGCATGACAGGCTTTACTCCTAAATCCCTCCCGGTACCGGGGTTCCATCCCAGCCCTGCCCTGCAACTCCCCTTGTGGCCGTTTCTGGAGCCCATACCTCACCTGTCACATGCACAGAGAGCTGGGTGGATATGTAACTGTATTTGGTACTTCCTGTCTCTATCCGAAAGAAGTATGAACCATTGTCCCTCCTCCTGGCATCTACGATGCTCAGGGAGCAGTTGTTCTTCCTGGGATCCCCAAGAAGGCGGAATCGGCCCTGGGTCTCCTCCTGTACTTCTCGATATGGGTTGTTTGTGGCCACTGGAGAGTCCAGGGATGCAGTGGCTCCTTTCCGGAACCAGTACCCATGAACTGGGTTATTCCTGAGGTAGTAGGGTGGGAGGGAGAAAGTGCAGGGCACGAGGACACACAAACCCTCCTGCACTGTCACTGAATCCTGCACTTTCAGCCAGAATCTTGAATCCTTAGCCAGGGCCCCTGTGGGGAAATGAGGATCAGCTCGGCCCAGCCCCACAACCCCTCTCCCCGCAGCCACTCACCTGCCCACAGCAGGGGCAGCAGCAGCAGCAGTGACATCTTTGAGGCAGAGACCTCCTGGGCTCCCTGTGTGAGCAGAGAAGAGGAAGGAAGTGGAGGGGAAGGGCTGCAGTGCTGAAAGGGAAGCTGGGGAGGAGCAGGAGACCTCAACCCTGCACAGAAGAGGAACCTCAGACCCACACGTGCTCAGAGCACATTTCCTCCAGATTGGACAGATCCCTCATGGGCCAGAGATGCCAGAGACCTGCCCAAAGAGGGGAGGAAATGAAGCAGAACCTGAGTCTTGCCTCCCAGGAGCATCAGAGCCTGGACCAATACCTCTGGTGGCATCTGAGGCATGGGACACCCATGTCTAAAGTCCTTCCACTCTGGGGTGCTTTTCTGTGCACAACTGTTTACACGAGGGAGCTGGTCACTCCTGGCCTGGCCCAAATCTCAGCCTCTTTTTGACCTGTAGAGTAGTCTGTCCTGCAGGATATAGGTTTCTGTAGGGTTCATGTAAGTGTCTGGGTCAGAAGAAATAAAGAAGGGTCCTAGGTGCTATAAAGGTGGCAGCCATCCATTCATACATTCATTTATTCATCAAAGCTATACCAAGCATCTATGTGTCAATGGAGCTGGAGGTAAGAAGAGATGCCACTCACCTGGTCCCCTTTAGATACTCCCCATCCATAGCCTCCCGTTCACCACACGCAAATCCTCTCTGGCTTTACAGCTGTGGATGCTGGTGACTGTCATATGTCGTGGTAGCATATTAGGTATTTTAAGGAAATACGACTATAGATTTTCTTTGCCTGGTAGTTAGGACACTGATTTGCAGGATTTCAGTGACATCTCCAAAATAAGAAATATGCAGTACTTTCATGTAAAACAAAAGCTTCTATGAACAAATGCAGAAGAAATTTCTTTCCCATCAGTGTTGCTATTCCCTGCAGTGGGGACAGCAGCAATTTTTTAATGGGGCTCACTATAGAGATTAGCTTTCATGTAAAAATATGCTTCTCATAGTTAAATGTGGCCCAAAGAGATAATATTTCCAGACAACATCAGTGGAATGTGTAGACAAAATTAAAATTTAGCTTCAGCTTATATGGTTTTTCATTTTACTCTGTGTGGTATGCATCTAGCAGATCCTCAATGCCTAAGATGTAGTAGTATTTGCAACCATATACAGGTAAAATCTCTATACACAGTAGTATATAGATAAATGTTCATTCATCCTAACTACCATAGAGAGCTATTTTCATCCTCTTTTTATATTTAAGGAATTGAGTCCCCAATAAATAATATCTTGCTGTATATTATTTTAAAATATAGTATATGCATATAATAGAATATCCAGTATATTTACTTTTAACAGTAAAAAATTATACCATGTTCATGGACTAGAGGGATACATATGATTGTGTGAGTCTTATTGTGTTTGTTTAATGAACTAGGTAAAATTTACTAATGAACTATAATGAACTAGGTATAATTTACTTGAAATAATGTGCACCCACTTGAAGTGTTTGTTTCCATGAGTTTTGACAAGTGTATACAACCCTATTATGACTGCCACAATAATATACACAACATTCCTCCTACACCAAGGGCTTTACCCAACCTCTTTGTAGTTCATCATTCCCACTTCTTGTGCCAGGCAACCACCAATTTGCTGTCTCTCACGGCGTGTCACTTTTGCCTATTTCAAAATTTCCTAGGAAGGAATGTACTCATCTGTGTCTGTATTTCTGACACTCAGCATATTTTTTGAAACTGAACTAAGTTGTATGTACCTATAGTTCACAGTGCGATATTGCTAAATAGCATCGCATTATATGGATATACTATAGTCTTATATTTATTCACCTCTTGATAGACATTTGAGACTTCCCCATTTTTTCACTAATGATACAAGTAAGTCTTTTTATAGACATAGTTTTATCCTCATAAGTATACATAAGAAGAGGAATGATAAGACCAAACCCTACTTGTATGTTTAATTTTGGTAGAAATTGCCAAATTTGTCCAAAATCATTTGACTTTTACCACTTTTTCCAGTCATGTGCCAGAATACCAGTAGTTCCATACCCTTGTAAATACTTGGTATTTTCGCTGTTTATATTTTGGTACTTCTAGTAAGAATTTAATAGTATCTCATGTTTTTCCATTTATTATTATTATTATTATTATTATTATTATTTGAGACAGAGTCTTGCTCTGTTGCTGTAGTGCAGTGGCATGATCTTGGCTCACTGCAACCTCCACCTCCTGAGTTCAAGCAATTCTCCTGCCTCAGCCTCCTGAGTAGCTGGTATTACAGGTGCATGCCACCACGCCCAGCTAAGTTTTGTATTTTTAGTAGAGACAAGGTTTCACCATGTTGGTCAGGCTGGTCTCGAACTCCTGACCTCGTGATCTGCCTACCTTGGCCTCCCAAAGTGCTGGGATTACAGGTGTGAGCCACCACACCCGGTCCAATTTTTTATTTTATTTAAATTTGGATACAGTTGAATTCAGTCTTTATCATGTACAATTCTATGTGGCCGACTGATGTAGATAGCTATGTAGCCAAAACTACTATCAAGTCCCGGCAGATTTTCATTGCCTACAATACTTCTTCCTGCTGTCCACTGGTAGTCAACCCTCTCTTTACCCTTAACTCCTAAAAGGACATTGATCTCTTCTTCATCCATATTGATATGCCTTTTATAGAATGCCATATACATGGAATCATACAAAATGTTGCCTTTAAAGCCTGGTTTCATTTGCTTGGCATAATGCAGTTCTGGCTCAGCCCTGTGATTGGGCAAATACATCAATAATTGTTCTCTTTAATTGCTGACTGGTACTCCAAGGTTTTGGTGGATACTTAGTAGACATTTACCAGTTAAAGAAGATTCAGATTGTTTCCAGGTTTTTGTGACTGTGAAATAAAGCTGCTATAAATATTGACGTGGGCTGAGTGCAGTGGCGCACACCTGTAATCCTAGCGATATGGGAAGCTGAGGCAAAAGGATAGCTTGCACTCAGGAGGTTGAGACCAGCCTAGGCAACATGGCAAAACCCTATGCTCTACCAAAAATACAAAAAATTAGCTGGGTGTGGTGGTGTGCTCCTTTGGTTCCAGCTACTGGGGAGGCTGGGGTGGGAGGATTGCTTGAGCCTGGGAGGTGGAAGTTAGTGGTGAGCAGAGATTGCACCACTGCACTCCAACCTGGGGGGCAGAGTGAGACCCCGGCTCAAAAACAAACAAACAAACAAACAAAAACACATTGACATTCAGGTTTCTCTATGTGGACATAAGTTTTATTTCTGCTGGATAAATACCTAGGAGCTAGGCGCTTGGTTATATGGTGTGAGTTTAAATTGATATGAAATTGCCAAATTGTTCTCCAAAGTGAATGTAACGCTTTGTAGTCCCACCAGCAGTAGATATGAGTCTGGGCACTTCACATCCTTGTTAGCACTTGATATTATCAGAATTTTAAAGAAATTACTATTTTTTTTGGTCATTCTATTAAACATGTAATACTACCTCATTCTGGTTCTAATCCATAATTACCAAATGATATTGAGCATATTTTCATGGGCTTGTTTGCCATTCATTTTTCTGTTTTAGTGATGTGCCTAATCAAATCTTCAACCGCTTTTTAAAAATCATGATAAAATATGCAACAAAACAAAAAATTATTATTTGAACCTTTTTTTCAGCATACAGTTAAGTGGCATTCAGTATAGTCACATTGTTGTAAATCACCACCATAGATATGGTTTAGATACTTGGCCCTCCTCATCTCATGTTGAAATGTAATGCCCTATGTTGGAGGCAGGGCCTGGTGGGAGGTGTTTGGGTCACTGGGGTGGATTCTTCATGGCTTAGGTGCTATCCTTGAGGTAGTGAATTCTCATAAGATCTGGCTGTTTGAAAGTGTGTGGCACCTTCCACCCACTTCTCTCTTGCTCCCACTCTCTTACCACATGAGACACCTGTTCCTCCTCTACCTTTTGCCATGATCGTAATTTTCTGAGGCCTTACCACAAGCTGAGCAGATGCTAGCGCCATGCTTTCTGTACAGCCTGCAGAACTATGAGCCTATTAAACCTCTTTTATTTATAAATTATCCAGACTCAGGTATTCGTTTATAGCAATGCAAGAACAGCCTAACACAACCATTAGTCTTCCTCTTCCCAGACTGAAACCTTGTATCAGCATCTTGAAAATAGCTATCTGATGAATGACTTCTAGCTGTTGTTGGTGGGCCAGTTGTGTTCTAATAATTTCTCTTCTTGTATCAATTAAGTGATAACTCAGATTCCCCTGGCAAGCATGGTGCTACTTTCTGTGTCTGTGAATTTGCCTAGTCTACACACCTTATATAGATGAAATCACAGAGTGTTTGTCCTGTTGTGACTGGCTTAATGTAACATATTTAAGGCTCATCCATGTTGCAAAATGTGTCAGCTATTTTAATTTAAAATAGTATTGCTATTTTAAGACTAAATGATATCCCATTTTATGTATATAACTCATTTTGTTTATCCATTTGTCTATTGAGGTCTTGGGCTGCTTTTACCTTTTATCTGTTGTGAATATGCTGCTGTGCATAGTTGCATAAAAATCTCAAATTTCTGCTTTCAGTCCTGTTGAGTGTATACCCAGCAGTATAACTGCTACATCATGTGATCATTCTATTTTTATTTTATTTTTTTGAAACTTTTTGAACCTCCTACTGCTTTCTATAGCAGCTTCCTATTTTATTTTCTCACTAGAAATACAGAAGAGTTCCAATTTCTCCACATTCTTGCAACACTTGTCGTTGCCCATGTTTTAAAATAACAACTGTCATGATTGGTATTGTTTTAAACTGTGGTTGTTTCTGTTGTTGCTGTTTATTAAATGTATCTATTGAAAGTGTACAACATGATGTCTTGATATTATGATTTTGATTTGCCTTCCCTCAGGACTAGTGTTGTGGACTATTTCTGTGCTTATTGGCCATTTGTATTCTTTGTTGTGTGATTCATACTCATCACCCATTTTTAACAAGTGTCATTTGGTTTTTGTTGTTGAGTAGCTGCTTTTAAAAACTAAAACTGGGTTCG